CCATAATGTACGATCCGATAATATCTCTGCTCCCAGATAGTTGGATACTGATTTACCACTTGCGGACCCCTTAAAATTGCTTTTGAAGATCTACTAACTGCACAAGGGAGGATAAGCCCGCCCCTTGCAATAGTAAGAATTATGCAAGGTAGTGCACCATCAGTAGCACCTTTCTTTTTTTTGTGGGCTAACTGGTTGTACGAGGTTCTTGGCTAGTTTTAACGCACAAATATAGAGAAATATTTCATACCTTGTTGATGTTGTTGCGAAGGCCTCCAACTTGGCGCGTAAACCCTTTTTTTGCTTTGATGTGACGTTTATGCCATCAAATTGTAGGCACTGAATCTGCTCTCTTTAAGCAGGCCTCTCCTGTTTTGTATGTTTACTTTACTACAACATCTTCGAATTCCAATGAAGCTCCTGTAGTTCCCCACAATGATTCGTTCAAAGAGGTGAGTCCGTTATCATGGCCGTGATGACGATATTTGTGCTTTGTTTTTAGTACTGTTTCCCTTGTATACCAGCTGCTCTGGTATTCTATGAAAGCAGTTTATTAGTTTTATGTAGAAACGATATATTGGGCTAGTCTATCCTCAATGTTCTCTCTCCTTGGAGTTACTGCCTTCGTTGTTCTATCATATACAGAGGGATTCTCCCGGACTTCAGAATGTTATTTGAGACGCTCCTTATAACCACCGCCTGCACCTGACATGAAACTTTTGTTGCCCTATGCGAGTATCACCCTCAAAATCTAGTGCACTAAAGTGGGCTGCTCTTTGCATATGGGCCATAATGGGGTTTTCTCATTTGCAACTCTCCCCAGTTATTGTGGAGGCCTGTGTACTATTTTCAATCAATCTTTGTTTGCCAACGGTTTTGTTTGCTCCTCCTTGTGTGCTCATTATTAAATTGACCATTCAGATATCTGTGTATTCTCAGCAATATTGGTATAATTTCCATTTTTACTGCCATTTTTTGTTAAACAGGACACCATGGTACGTCATCAGAAGTATTCTGATTATAAAGGATCACTTAAAATGTGTTCACAACAGGCATGAATGTCTTTAATTGTTCCAGATAGTGGGAGTTCGGTCCGGTGATGAAGCTAGTGAGGAAAGTGTGCCGATCCCATCCACTGCACTCAAACGCCTTCCCCTCCAACATGGCACTGGCGGCCGGTACCGCCTGGATCTACGTCAGGCTCCATTCCGTCTCTTCAACAACTATCTGGTCCCCATCTCCAACACAGAGGAAGCCACAGACGCCCTCCGCGCCGTCGCTGAATCCATCACCGTTCTTCTTCAATCCATTGGTAAGTCCTCGAGTATTATTGTTTAATTGTTTCGAAACAGTCTTCCTCACTTAGCTGTCGGCACTCGACAGTGTGGTTGTTGCTTTAGTGAACGGATGTCCTGCAAATAAACTACAAATCATTAATTTCTGTTTCTGAATTTCATTTAATGTTTTAATTCTGTCCGTTGATGAGTGTAGAAGCGTCAGTGCCACTGGAGATGCAGGTAACGAGCATTTCGGTGAGACAGCGGTGGTTTGCGTCTTTTCCGCCTGCGAAATTCACGCGACCACTTCCTCCCGCTGTCTACAATGTCCTACAGCAGCATCGTGATTGTCTCCATCCTTTCCTCCTCTCCTTGCAACCACCTCCCCGTCCTCGGCGCTCTCGACATGCCCCAATGGCTAACCGCAACTATTTGTCCAGGCCGGCGCAGCGGGTCTGGGGAACGAAGAGTTCTCCAAAATCCACACTTCTTTCAAATGTCTCTCAAATCGAGGTTTGTACTTCAAATGTGACAATGCGGTTAAGTACACAATTTATTGTTGGGGTAAATTTATGGTTGATTAGTATTAATGGCTTGGAACATTTTACTCACCTCCTCATCGCTATTCTATTTTTCTTGTTTTGGGTATTGTTATTGTTTCAATTTATACTTATACTTTCTACAGTGCACAGGGCATTAGAGTCCTTTGAGCGGATGTTGAAGCTCTTTCCACTATCTCTGGTTCAGTCAAGCAAATTGAGCAGCCCTCTTTTCGTGAAAATGATCCAAGTAGCGTTTCAACTGGTGTGATTTCGCATGTTCATTAGTTTTTTGACAAGAATGAAGTATTTAAAATCACTAGCAACTTCCTAAACTTCATTCAGTTCAAATCATTTATAATTTTGTTTCCAAGTCGTTGTTGATAGTTTTGCATAAATTTGAGTTGTTTTGTAATTATCCTCAACCAAAACGTATCGATCAACTGACGGCAGAAACAAAACGTTCGTTGCATTCACGGTATCACCAATGTTCTAAGCGAGCATTTTGCAGTGAGGACTTTTTGTGGATTTATTAGCCGCCTTCAGGATTTTTTTCGCATATCACTTTTTTTTTCATGGAGATATAAGTGCAACCGTTTTTCCACCTCTCTGTTTTAGTTAGAAATGGCGTGTGTTAAGGCCGCATCAGGAGAGATGAATGAGAAGTTGTTAGCACCAGACTACACGGAAGCAATGGAAGAAGGATCGAGAGGAACAGACGAGACATCGGAACAGGAAGTTGAACCTTCCCTTGGCTCCGATGTAGATGATATGCCCACGCGCATCATGAAACCCAGCAATTGCTCTTCAAGTACTCTTGTTCTTTTTGCTTTTCTATCAAGTTTTCACCATTTTTGTACCATTTTGCTTTACCATCACGTCTTGATGAAATCTATGTGGATTTCTCCATGCCTTGTACCTCTACACAATGTTAGCCGAAAATAGGCCTGTGGTTTAATTTCCCATATCTCCGTGTTAATCCACCAGTTCCACAATTTCCTTATTGTCAATCGTTGTGTCGTGGTTTGAATTTAAAGGACACGAGTACCTGTTAGAAATGGGCGGTCGATCATTGCTTTACATTCCCTGGTGCACATTAGCAAAGACTGTTCCAACGCTTATGATAAATCGTATGATTGGCTGTCCTTGGTGTTGCTGTTTACGATCTCTTTGTTCAAAGTGTTGTTTTGGTTTTTTAAACATAAATTCAAAATTACCACCCAGTTGATAGTTCCTAAATAACATATCATTGATGTTTCTTCTTTGGAAATGAATTTATTTTCTCCTTAAGCATGTGTTAATTCAAATCTAGCTGTTAGCATTTCGAACTCACTACTTTCTCTTTATCCAGTTTCCGACTTGATCTATGAGCTGGAAGATGCGGCTTCCGTTGCAGCCGAGGGAGAGGCGGAAGAGGGCGAGAGGATGGAAGAGGATGAGAAAGCATACAGATTAAGAATTAGCCGAAGCCGCTCACGTTCCGTCCCTGCCCATTTGGAGGACACGACGTGTGGGCAAATGCTTAAACTGACGAACCCCACCATTGTCGCTTCCGTCAGTAGGTCTTCCTCCTCACCTTTGCTTGGATGTCTGTTTCATCACTCCCTTTCTCCTCAATCTCAAATCTACGAACGGAGAAGTTCTAGCTCTAGAACCTATATGGTGAGCACCTTTTAACAGCACTAGGCTGAATGCAGTCTTTTTATCCTAATATTTTTGTTATGCATTTGTAGAAACTTTCTCACCCAACTTTGACGGGAGAAGACCGATTAGTGCTCCCTCGAAGTTCTTCATGCAATGACTGCAATAGTCGAATGATCCATCGTCTGCCGTATCGCCGAATAGCGGTATCCGATCCGGAGATAACGTGCTACCGCGCCTTATACGGACTGACCGTAGAGCAGAGACCACCACCTAAATCTCTCCACGTTTCGCAGTCGAAAGGTGATCTCGGCCTGCAGGAGGAGTTGAATATGCGCTTTCAGATCTTTACGTTCGCATCGATAGGTAGGCTGCAGGAGTCAGCGAACCCACGGTTCGTGTCCCGACTGCGTCAGCGACAAGAAGCGAATGCCTCAGCTGTCAATCAAGCGCGAAATCTCATATGCTCCTCTGAAGACGTGATAAAAACTCAGTTCATCATATTTTAATCCTCCGTCTTTCCACCTATTACAATTATTTGCCCTTACAAGCGTATATGTTTGTGGCATTTATTGTCTTGTGTTCTTACTCCCCATCGCGCCAATTTTTTTACTGTTTTCATTACTATCTGATCTTTTCACTTTCCTTCCCTTTACGCACTTAACAACGGTTGGCGACGTGAATGCTAGATACTACACCAGAGGGCAATACACGTTGATCAGTCCTATTTTTTAAGTGAGGTTGGACTTTCTGTTCGGACATACTTAGTTATTGACGTTTGTCACTTTTCATCATACAATAAACTTAGAAATAAATGATGTTCCTATTCTCGAAATTCATTTTCTAAATTGAATGGGGCTGTAGATATAGTGAAGTCATCAAGGGCATCAATGACATTGTGGCCAAGAATCACCCCGGTTGTGTAGGGGTTCGCTAACTGACGTTCCAGTGGTTCAAAAGAAAGGGGGATAAGTAACTGTAGCGTTCCAAGGCCTCCCTCCGAAAAGTATTAAGTTGGGCTGAATGAATGCATTCTGGGACGAGAAAGTTGATTAATTCCACGCGTACAAGGGCCATACGAATACCAGTACAACCGCCAGCCATAAGTTGGCAATACGAACAGCGTGTTATCATAAGATTGTTTTTTGTTCGACTTACATTTGTAGCATCCCGAGACTTCCTATACGGTAGAAGAAGGCAGTAAGTGAAGCTGAATACATGTATTTCAAAGAGGATAAAGCTAATGGACCTGAACATGATCCGAAGGCCAGCCAACGAGCACAAGGACCGGAAAATCCTAAAGTGACTGCATTACGCTAGGCACTGTAATGCTTTGTTTATGTGACTATCTGACGTTTGGCGGCCACTTTAGAACTTGTCTGGGACCTGTACACGTGGACTGGCCTTCGGACCAAGCTCAGGCCCATTTCTCCTATTGCTTTCGGAATACATGTATTCAACCCCACTTATGCCTTCTACTACCTCATTGGAAGCCTCGGGACGCTACACTGGTGGCAGCGGAAAGCGGACCCGACATCTTATTATCGACTTTTAGGTATAAGGTGCTTTAAAAGCGACATAGTGTGTGGGAAGATGTGTTGCCCAACAGACACCACTGTCTTACTGACATCCTACGTTTGCCTTGCTAAACTTTGCCAATTAGCCGACTGATTTCCGGAAGAGAACAGTACGAACAAACCGACGAGCAACGGTTCGATCGGATGATGCACTGGTTCAATACAAGCAGATACCTCAAAATCGGGTTCCCTCGGCCGGAAAGTCGAAATCTCTATTTTCACGACAGAAGGTTATAATCCAACCAGCAGACAAGACTGCAAACAAATTCTGCTTCTTAGGGGAGAAATCCAAGATTAAGAAGCGCATTCTGGCAAGCATGAGCTATACATGCGCAGAAGGAAGCCTGACTCTATCTATCGAAGTGCAGTAGAAAAAGATACAGGCGAAAAAGGGAAGTGAATTGAAGGGGGCGCATTTACCTTGAAGACGGAGGATCCCTTGACCCTTCACAACGAAAGGGTTGAGACTAACGTCTGCATTTGTTTTCACCTTATTCTCGTGTTCCACAAACAAGCTATTAACAACTGAAGCGACACCGCCGTGAAATATCCGGAAAAGTTTCGTGTGGGAATTTTCCATACCGAACCCGTGTTTAGGTGTCGGAAATGACAACGGATCTCCTCGCATACGGGACAGTGGCCCGTAGACCAGAATTCCACCGTGTATTTCTGGAAGCAATCGATGGTCGACAGATGTAGGGGTCCCCGAATCTGGTTGTCAGT